ACCCCAATACAAAATAAAAGGCTTAAAAAAAACCTAGACCATCCCATTTTGCTAAATGAAAATGGGACAGTCTTTTTTCACCTTTTATAATGTCTGTATACCAAAATTTACTCTATATACAGTATGTAGATGAACAAATGCTGATGGTGGGCATGTATACAAAGGTGACTGGAAGGAAAAAGAAGAGAAATATTCACTGGATTGATATTTTTAAAAGTTCCATTGGACTCGATAATAAATGGTGATGACTATTTTTCTGGTATACTGAGAGTTGAAGCTTGTTTATCATATTAGTTAAAATGTCAGAGAACTTATATATAATAAAAGGGTAAACCTCCAGAAATAAGGTAAAAAAAAATTAGTCTTTATATTAAATTACTCATCTTGGAATGGTTAAAAGTGTGAACCCTGGAGTTACAGACACAGTTCTGGGCCAGAATCACAAGTCCAATCCTTAGTGCATCCCTCTGGCAAGTTTTTCAGCCTCCCTAAGATCCAGTTCCCTCATCTGCAAAATAAGGATTAAAGAACTACTCTTTTTCAGAGCTTTTAAAGATTTTTTTTTCTAATGTGGACTATTTAAGTTTTTTCTTGAATTTGTTACAATATTGGTTCTGTTTTATGCTTTGGTTTTGTGGCCACAAGGCTTGTGGAATCTTAGCTCCCAATCAGGGATTGAACCCGCAACCCCTGCATTGGAAGGTGAAGTCTTAACCACTGGACCACCAGGGAAGTCCCTTCTATGGATTTCTTTCTAATTTTTAATATTTTATTTATTTATTTATTCTTGGTTGTGCTGAGTCTCTGTTGCTGCAAGGGCGTTTTCTAGTTGTGGCAAGTGGGGGCTACTCCCTAGGTGCAGTGTGAGGGCTTCTCATTGCATGGTTTCGCTTGTCGCAGAGCATGGGCTCTAGGACACACAGGCTATGGTAGTTGTGGCACATGGGCTCAGGAGTTGTGGTTCCGGGCTCCAGAGCACAGGCTCAGGAGTTGTAGCACACAGCCTTAGTTGCTCCGCAGCATGTGGGATCTTCCCAAGCCAGAGATCAAACCTGCATCTCCTGCATTGGCAGGTGGCTCTTTACCATGGAGCCACCAGGGAAACCTACAAGCTTTATAGAGACTAAACCTCCATGCAAAGTGCCTAGCAGAGTGCTTGGCACATAAGAAATGATAGGCATCAGTGCTGGATAGAGATTTTATTTTTCTTGAGTTGCTTAAATCAGCTCTCCTATCTATCCGATTTGGGAACCCAACATATGTGAAATAATATCTGTATCCTATTTTATCAGCTCTCCTTATCTATCCGATTTGGGAACCCAACATATGTGAAATAATATCTGTATCCTATTTGCTACCTCCAGAGTTTATCGTTGCCAATGCCAGCAGCTCACACCACCTTTGGTGGGGTTGGTGGGGGGGAGGTGGTGGCATTCCCCCAGCCCCAACCAATTTTTAGACTGAGCAAGCATCACTTCAATGAACTCAAATTTATACAAAAAGTAGGGAAATGAGTCAAAAAACCTCCTAAAAATCTCACCATCCGGACTAAACATCTTTATTCTCCCAGGCTTCTCTCTGTGTACACACAGACGTATGCATACATGTTTTAAGATGTGGGATCACACTACACTGTTGTGTCACACCTGTTTTTGTACTCAAAAGTATCTTTCTAGTTCATTCAACAGAAACCTCCATGTTCAATCTCAGTAGGGCTCTAACCTTAAACCACTAAATTCTGTGTACACACAAAGCGGTCGTAAAAAGCAGTCGACAAAAGAAAACATTAACATCTGCCTTTGAATAATGACTTAGATCAAAAACTGGGAGGTTAAAGTGGATTTGAAAAACAAGTAAAAGTCAGAGGCATTTGGTTCTTTTTTATGAAAAAACTGGAGAGAATGAAGCTTTGGGCCCTGGATGATCTGTGTGGCACACACCCCAATTCCTAAATGGTAATTACTTGTGGAATGTGAAACTTGTGGAACTGAACTTGCATAAAATGAGAACTCGCCTGTAAACCTCAGTCCATTTTCAGGGTTTCAAAATCCTATTTTATCTAGATCACAGCTCTTTCAGTCTTGGCATCAAAAAGTTATTTCTGAGTGCTAAACAAATATGAAAACTGTGGATCTGGACTCAGTCGTGCTTCCTACTGCCAGGCTGGGGGTTCACTCCAGAGGCCACACATGTGTGAGTCCTTATTCCCTGATACCACCGTGTCCCTGAATACACCAGGGGTCTGCAGACTTAAATAACTGAGGCCTCACCTCGGGGGACACTCAAGGGACCCTTATCTGGAACTCTGACCTCATCACTTCTGGGGTTCATTTCGATCCTGCCAGAAGTAATAAGCACGGATGAATAGATGTTAATGTACCAATATTATTTTTACTCATTTTTCTTATTTCAGCTACTGCTTAGAAAGTGAAGAGGGTTTTTGCTACTCCATTCCTAGATAATGAAAATACAGTTATAGTGAAAGAATCTGTATTATATAATCTCTGCTGCATTACCTATAATCTCTGCTAGCTGAAAGAGATCATACTCACAATTTTAAAACTTGAGTGGAGTTTATAAAACTGGATTTATTCTGAAACTGACCTAAAACGGCCTGATATGACCTGCGCATCTTGGGTAAGTCTTGGTTGGGAGTGGCAGAAGAGAGGGGTGAAGATTAGATTGTAGGAAGCGGAGAATGCAGAGCCAGGGAAAGCCCTATGGGTTCAAGGGGCGAGAGCCCAGCAAATACAGAATCCAGGCACCACCAGACTAGCAAAGAAGTGGGCAAGATGGCCAGCTTGGCAAGAGCAAGGCCCCCAGACAGGATAAAGGAGTAGTTCCAGGTCAGTCACCAAGGACTGAGCTCCGGAAGGCAAGCTTATGGGAAGTGAGCCTGGGTCTTCTGACCAAGTAAAATCCTGGTTATCAGACCTGGAGCCCAAAGTAATGGCCTGACATGCCACTCACAGTTAAGAGACCCCACATGCTGAGTCACCTAGCCCTCTTTCCTGCAGAGCGGAGGGAGTTGGGGGTGGGACTTGGCCCAACTTAGGAGAGAAACACAGTTAAGGGGTAAAGGAACCTAGCAGGCTGTCCACACCATCCTTCCCCACTCCCACTTATTCTCCCTCCGGGGCAAGTTATTGACCAAAGAAAATATGTTTTCACCACAAGAAGGGTTACAATGGTGAGTCATCATTATTAATTAATAGCCTTTATGCAAGAAGCCATGCCACTCTCTCTAGGCTATTGGCAGTAAAAACAAAATAGAAAGTGTCCAGGGAACCGACTTTCTTGATATTCATGGTTTTAGAGCAATGGATCTCAAATTTTGTCCCCAGACGACGTGCAGTATTCACCATCGCTCAGGAGCTGGTTAAAGGTGCAAATTCTCACGTCCCACCCTCGACCTACTGCATCAGACTCTTAGAGGTCTGGGCCTGGCAATCCATGTTTTAACAAGCCTCCAGGAAACCCTGATGCAAGCTAAAGTTTGAGAATCCTGGCCGAGTGGAAAGAACCTGGGATGGGAGCCAGGAGACCTAATTCAGATTCCAGCTCTGGAGCCCGTGGTCCAGTTCAGTGAAAATTAATGAATAGTCAGGATGCGCCTCTCTGTGCATCGAGGCTAAACGCAAGGATGTGAGGATACTGAGATAAGCTAGATGCAGTCCTTATTCTCAGATGGTGTCTAATCCTCTATATTCCTTTGTTTCTCCAGGGTAGGAACTGCCTTGTCATTGTTCTTGGTTTGTTTCATATCTGTATTCCCAGTGCCTGCAGCATCACAGGTATTCAGTATATACGCAATGGACCAAGTGATAAGCCATTCACCACTATGATAAACATCACTGTACCATTCATCAACAATCTTAATGGTATTCCAGTCTAGTTAACACTAGCTACCATTTATTTAACGCTTATCATGTGCTAGGTGCTGAGGGCTTGTCATATATCAACTCGTTCAATGCTTTTAGATGCCCTTCACTTTGCACATCAAAAAAAATTGAGGCTTGACATATCAAGTTATCTGTTCAATGTCATATGCTGATAGCGTTAGAACTCAAGATGAACCCAGAAATACCTTATTCCAAAGCTCGTGGTCTTAAACATGGTAGGGTTCTTCTTCAGATCCCATAAATTCAAAGACCAGTTTTATGGTACATTTCCCTCCTCTAAGGTGAGTGCTTGATTATTTTCTCACCATGTACTTACAACTGCACTTTGGTGACATCACCTTAAGTGGTCAAAGAGAATCTTTATTTTTCTCCTTTTTTGGTAGATTGATATTTGGTTTTCATTGAGGTTAAGAAAGTAGATAGTTGTGGGGAACTACACTTCACAGGATAGTTCTGACCCTTAGACATCATACCAATATTGCTTCTAAAAGCAGAAGTGGTTGTGCCAGCCAGGCCAGGCCAGCCTTGAAAGGACACTGGCGGAGAAGGCTGGTTCCAGGGGACTGAACCCTGAGTGGAGTAACCCAGGAAAGGCAGGCCACAGAGGAAGGGGCAGACATGATCTGGCCCAAGGCCTGAAGGCATGAGGGGGCTGGGTTGTGGACACCACATCATGGTCCAGCAAGGATATAGAGGCAAAGGAGGCAGCAACCAGGAGAAGCAGCCAGAAGTCTGAACTCAGCCCTGAGGTTCCCCTGCCTGGGATAGCTACAGCTACTGATGAAATAAACATTGCCTCCTGCTCCCTCAGGGGACACTCAAGGGACCTTTATCTGGAACCCTGGCCTCATCAATTCTGGGATTCATTTCCATCCTGCTAGAAGTAAGAAACATGGGTGAAAAGATGTTAACATACCAACACTATTTTTACCCATTTTTATATTCTTTGCATGCTTCCTTTTTCTACTCACTATTAATCAAAGATGAACTTGACGCCCATACCTACTATCGAACAATTCCGGGCCAGGAGGGATGTGGTTGGGGCTGTAGGTACTGAGAGAAGGAAAAGGGGATTTATAGCATAAGCAAAGATCTTACCTTACTAGGAGGTGGTCCATGGTCATCCAAGTAAGTGGAGTTTCCTAGAAAAAAAAGAAGAAAAAGTTGATGGCTTCATAGGTTTCAACCCCAAATGAATTGAGGCAAAGTCATGGAAAATAAGTACTTTAGTTATATTTCTATTCGGACAACAGTACCAAAGGAAAATGGGTAATTAATCTCCAATTTGGTGAGATTTTGCTGATACTACCAAGCTTGGTTAATAGCTTCTGCAGCTACAAACATTCTACCAACAATGGTGTGTATGTACAGACATGGACCATTATTCCCCACCCAATATCTGCTAGGTTTACTTTAGACCAGTGGTTCTCCCGCTTCAACATGCATCAGAATTACCTGCAGAGGCTGCTAACACTGAGACTGCCCGACCCCACCCTCAGAGTTCTGATTCAGTGCCTATGCGCATGCTAAGTCGCTTTAGTCATGTCCAGCTCTTTGTGACCATATGGAGTGCCGCCTGCCAGGCTCCTCTGTCCACGGGATTTCTCCAGGCAAGAATACTGGAGCGGGTTGCCATGCCGTCCTCCAGGCAATCTTCCCAACCAAGGGATCAAACCCACATCTCTTTTGTCTCCTGCATTAGCAGGTGGGTTCTTTACCACTAGTGCCACAGTAGCTCTGAGAATCTGCATTTCTACCAAGCTCCCAAGTGATGCTACGGTCCGGAAACCACACTTGGAGAACCACTGCATTGTTTCTCTACTTTGTCTTGATTATCAATTTCCCTTCATCTTTTCAGTCTAGCTTGCTTCCGAAGCTTGATTTGTCTTTGCTAATAGCCACTTAGTGATATGTGTGTGTTTTCAGGGTGTGTGGTTATTGTTTCCTAAGAGATAAAGACTCAGGGGGGTTCTGATAAGAACTAAAGCTTACTGAGTTCCTTCTGGGCAGCAGGTACTCCACTAAGTGTTTTATAGGTACTCATTCACTTCATTCAAATATCACAGGAGGGTTAGAATGAGCCCCATTTACTGAGAAGAGAAGAGAGGCCTGGAGAAATCCAATAACTTGCTCACAGTCCCACAGCTGTTAAGCTGCAGAGAGGAAGGGAGACTGGTTTTTTCAGAAGGTGCTCGGCATCTGCTCATCTGAAAAGCCCACCTGGAGTGTTGCTGTCTCCTGCTTTTGCACAGCCTGGGCACCACCAGTGTTACCAGCTGGCACCTTGCTTGATTGTGTAGGGGAGCTGGTGATGCGGTGAGTTTAGAAGCAAAGTGAAGTTGACCAGACTTTCTAACAGAGCAAAATGTAGGAAACATTCAAAATGCCAGAAGACTTAAAGAAGACAGTAGATTACAGAATAAGGTCAATAAAAGGTGCTTTTTTTCAGGAGATGGCAAAAGGAACTTAAAAAGTAGGAATAATAAGGGGAAGCAGAGTTTAAGCTAAGGACAGTTCAAGTGGGGAAATTTATCTAAACATAATAAAAAAGTGGTGTTTGGCTTATAGATTTTTCCCCCTCTTTCTGAGGCATTATCCAACCCCTGTTTCTTCCTAGTCTTCTGATTTACCATCTACGTGATGTGTACAATGCCTGTAATCTAACTGGCTGTTTGTATAAAGCAGAAGGACAGTGGGGTCAAATTTTGTGTGTGTATATGACACTCACACACAAACACCTGGAACGCTTGTGACTGGGTTACTTTCAGGAAACTTTGAAATGTGAACAGGATTTGTAATTTGCCAGATCTTAATTATTGTGCAGCACTCCATGGAGAACGTACTTGAATAGGAAGTTGATCTATATATACACACCTGACTTAGGAAAGAAGATGTACAAAAAAGAATACAGAAAAATGGTTGCCTAAGTCTAGCAACATACTCAGAGGGACTCCACCATAAGCGGTCAGGACGGTCACAGAGGGTCCTGCCTGCTCATCATGTAAACGTGTTTTCCCCAGGGGGAATGTGAGGAATCCCAACACGTTCCAGCATCTTCTCCAGGTGTTCATCCCAGGAATCAAAGGGAGCCCACCCGCTAAATGCTTCTAAAATATGGAAAGTCTCCGTAAAAACCAAAGTGCCCAGGAACTCCTGAAATGAATGATTTCAATGCCTGACTGCTACCTTGGATTCCAGACATGCGTATCCACTGACTCTTTAGCACCTCAGCCTGGATGTCTATGGGCACCTCACACCTCACCGTCCAAACAAAACTTTTTATTAATTAATTAAGTTAGTTAATCATTTGTTTATTTGGCTGGGTCAGGTCTCAGCGGTGGTTCGCAGACTCCTTTGCATCGTGTGGGATCTCTTGTTGCGGAGCATGGGCTCCCTAGCAGCGGCCCAGGGGCTCGGTAGCTGCAGCGTTTGGGCTTAGACACTCGCCTGCATGTGAGATCTTAGTTCCCTGATCAGGGTTCAAACCCGAGTCCCTGAATTGCAAGGTGGATTCTTCTTTGTTTTCTTCCATTTATTTTTATTAGTTGGAGGCTAATTACTTTATAATATTGTAGTGGTTTTTGCCATACATTGACATGAATCAGCCATGGATTTACATGTATTCCCCATCCCGATTGCAAGGTGGATTCTTAACCACTGAATCACCAGGCAAGTCCCAACAGAACTCTTTACTTGCTTCTATTATGTCCCCCAAATCGCCATTTCTCCTGTCTTCTATTCCTGGCTACACAACACATTCCTTCCAAAACAGGCTTCAAAGCCTTTGTTAGCTTTGATCCATCTCTTTCCCTTCTCCCATCCATACCAACCCATTTTCAAGCCCTGTTGGCTCCGCTTTCAAAATGTTACTTAAGTCAGACCACTTCTCACCAACCCCTCTGGGCCACCAGAGAGGAACAGGCCTTCTCTTCACTGATTGTCAACTTTCTCCCCTACCACACAGCAACCAGAGGGATCTTTTAACCTTATTAATCTGGCCATGTTAGCCCTCTGCTTAAAATCTATTTCTCTAAGAACAAAATAATCAATTCCGTACTATGGTCTCTAACCCTACATGACTCAGGCCCTGTCTCCTGCCACGCCTGCCACCAGCACAACAGCCTTTCCTCTGCTCCAGGATGCAGGAATCTGTTGGCAGCTAGCGACCTTTTGAACTGTCTCTTTCCTCTACCAGAAAAAGCTCTTGTCCACCCCCTTTGCTCAGGCTCAGGTCAAATGTCCCTGTTTTGTCAGCTCATGTTTCTTTCCCTCTCTCCCTTCCTCCATCCTTCCCTCCCTCCCTCCTTCATCATAAGACATCACTTCTTCTGCATAAAGAAAGGACCAGGGCTGACCAGGGCTGGCACTGATCCATGGACCTCATTGTTCCCGCTGCCAGCACCCCCCCCGAGCTTCCATCTACACCTACGTTCCTGTGCTTTATTAGAACACAGAGGTTCCCAGGGCCATGTACTTGTGACAGAAGTATGGAAAAGGAAATGAAAAGCTACATGAATAAAAAACATCTCTTTAGCTGGAGACAGCAAGTTTTTATCCTCCTAGGGTATAAGTGTTATTATTTTTTGTGTTTAAGGTAGAGCTTTTCATCCTAGGATCTTATGCTTTCAGAGTGCAAAATAAACGAGATTGTCAGGATTTTCAAACCTAAAGTTGGTAACTTGTAGGCTCTGGAGATCAAAGGATGAGTGCTGTTACCAAAACGTGCTTCCCTAAACAGGCTCCCAGGCATCAGAGAGGCTTCTTGCTGCTCTGTCTTAGAGAGGGTTCTATGGAGGGTGTCAAGTGATGGAAGAGGGAGGGCAGACGCCAGCCAGCCCTGGGGCCTCTGAGCTTAGAGCTCACAACACAAATAGAAAAGAAATGGTGAGGAAGGCAGATGAGGGTCTGGGGCCAGGACAGAGGAAAAATGCTTACCTGTCACCCACCTCCACTGCCCTGTGAACGCCCACTGTCGATATCCCAGTCTCCAATCCAAGTAATCTTTGGAGTCCTGTAGGGGTGTATCATTTCATTTCTTTCCAGAACTTAACCCACACTTTCAGAGCTCTGATTTCAGCCTCCTTTTTGGGTTTCAAGTCCTTCCTTTGGGGATCAAAGATTACAGTATGTGGTCAAGTTAGGGAAAGAAAGAAAGGTATATACCCCACATGGTTCCACTCCTACCATCAGTCAAACTTTCAGAAGGACCTATCTCCTAACTGCCAAGAAATTGCATGCTCGGGCTGGCATATGGATAAACTTCTTACAGAAAGTCAAGATTGTGGAGTCTGCTCAGGTTGGTGGAGGAAGCAGGGTGGCTACTGAGAAGAAGAAACACTTCAGCCCTTTGAACTCTATTTGCTGGTCTAGGTCCATAAAAATGGCTGAGTGCTGAAGAACTGATGCTTTTGAACTGTGGTGTTGGAGAAGACTCTTGAGAATTCCTTGGATAGTAAGGAGGTCAAACCAGTCAATCCTAAAGGAAGTCAACCCTGAATATTCATTGGAAGGACTGATGTTGAAGCTGAAACTCCAATACTCTGGCCGCTTGATGTGAAGAGCCGACTCATTGGAAAAGACCCTGATGCTGGGAAAGACTAAAGGTAAAAGGAGAAGGTGGTGGCAGAGGACAAGATGGTTAGATAGCATTGCTGACCCAGTGGACATGAATTTGAGCAAATTCAGGAGATAGTGAAGGACAGGGAAGCCTGGCATGCTGCAGTCCATGGGGTAGCAAAGAGTCAGACGCGACTTAGCAACTGAACAACAACAATCTTGATGTTGGTAGTGGTTTTGTGGCTCTTAAAACTGATTGAGCTATATATCAAAACCACTGACAACAAACTACTGGTGGTTTCATGGTTTTAGAAATGCCCTCACTAGAACAAGTGATCTCAGACTTTTGGACCAGCCAAGTGAGAACACATTCTACATCTCACCCTGCCTACCTAGCTTTTCCTGGTGGAGACCTCCCAGCAAGATTGTTGATATTGTTAATACAAATGAAAGACCATGTGTATTATGTGCAAAGGTGTTAACTCCAAATACCAAGGAGTTACTGATTGTGCACTTACTAGAACAATGCTATGAAAAACCAGATACAGTGCACCTAGATGAGCAGGTTAAGTCTCACTTTGATAAT